GGATATAGGATATAGGATATAGGATATAGGATATAGGATATAGGATACAACAAAGTGTCAACAGATTCAACAAAGCTCTGGTTTCCCAAATAACATATTTGGGTGATCATTTGCTGGATCACACAGCCATTCTTACGTTACAGAACTATCTTCACACCCCAAAGTCAAGCCTAAGTCACTTGCCTGAGCCATCCTCAAATTCTACTGAAGCTTGAAGACATCATCAAATTTTGTATCATACATAAGGCACCTACGATTGTCAACGCTGAATTCAAATTTGAACCCACATACTGTGAGCAGAAAAGAATGTTACAGAAAATACTTAGCTAAAAAATGCTCTACAATTTTTATAGTCTCTTCCTGAAACCAGAAGAGAACAGCAAATGATACGATTTGGAAGAAAGAACAGAAAAGGGAAAAGAAAAAAAAGGAATTCTCAATCACATTTAAAATGGCGTAGCCGAAATCCAGACATACCCTCCTATCCCAAAACCATTTGAATGTTTTTGTTTAGAATATCTAAATAACTTAAGAGCAAAAAACAAACAAACAAGAAACCTAAACAAAAAAACTTTGTTGTGAAGTTATGAATTAATAAGTTTGATTTGATTCAGTGTTTATCTTTAGCAAATATCAATGTTCAAAAGCAAGAAGCAAAACAGACTTGCTGATTTGGGATATTCCTCTCTCTACCCCTATACTTCCAGTGCTTTTTCTTTCTTCCCTATGTGCCCACAATTTCTGACAAATTTTAGGTCCTCACTGTCCTCCCTTCCAGTCTCCCAAATCTGCAGCTCTGCCGCCCTCTCCTGCTCCAGTAAGTTCCCTGTCTGAGCATCTCTGGTCATTTCCACACGCTGGAATTGACCACAGATTGTCACCAGAAGGTATGAGGAAGAATCTGCTACACCAGGGGTCCAGCACCTGATTCTAGACATGACTAAGGCTGCAGTGCAAGGGGTTGGATCAGAAATGGCAACATGGAAGTTCACAGAAGAGAGGCAGTGTGACGAGTACTATCAGAAGAGGAAGATAAAAAAAGATGCATATCAATAAAATTTGAATCACACTCCCCTCATTTATAAGCCTTACTCCAAATAAAAATCTAAGGTTTTTCTGTAAACGTTTAAGAAATGTTGAAAGAAAATGAATTACAAAATGAAGAAATCCATCAGCAACAACTTTTATATTTTATCTTGCTTTCTACAAACAAGCCAGAAGAATGAGCTTACCTTTATCCTGTTACAGAGAAATTCTGTTTTATATCTCTCTGTCACACTGAAATTGAGGAGCTAACGCATCTGACGTGATGCACAAACCATGCTGGCTTGCAGTAGCAACGCTACCTGGAGAAATGCTGAGAATGTAAGGCCCAATTCTGCCAACAAAGTCCTGGGCACATCTTTCATTAACTTAAGTAGTTATTAGCACCTTTGAAACTAGACATACACATAACCTAACGTCTCACACGCTTTTGCTACAAACTTGCCATCCACTGAAGTGATCTATGTTTTTGTACTGGTAGCAAAAAACAACTGATTAGATTTTCTGTGGTTTAACACACACAGACTGTTAACATTCCTTGTGTCAAGCTGCTTTCAGGCAACTTTGTTATTTTGAAATCTGTGGCTCTCAAAGCTAATCATCTTCACTGAGAGTCAGAGTATTTTTAAGTTCATCTTTCTGGAAACTGTAGACTTTCTTAGAAAAAGTTGAGTGCTTGTGCTCTGTTCTTAAATACTAGGATGATTTGAGGGTAAATAAAAATTACTGGGGAAACTTCCATAGTGAGAAGAGCCACAGTGTTACTGATAGCAGAACTTGCTAAATGGCCACAGCTCTGTAACTTCCATTTCCTCTACATTGTTGAAGTTCCACATCTTCCCAGCACACTATTAATTTATGAACATGAAGACAAACTAATGCTGCTCTGCATAAATGCTTGTTACACACAGGGACCAAAAAAACAAAACAACAAAAAAGAGCAGGCTACTTTTAAATTATAAAGAAATAATAATAGCAAAAGTTGTTTTTTGGTTGGTTGGTTTTGGGTTGTTTTTTTTTCCTAGCAAATTGTCACACCAGGGGAAAGAGTGAGTGCTCTAGAGGTTGTCACTTAGAGGTGCAGCACACCAGTAATCCCTGTTACCCTGAAAGCTGAGTTCTGGCAGCTGCCAAGTTCCAGTATTCTGGAAAGAGTTATCTGTGTTTCTCAGTGTGATGTAGCACTATTATTTAGAGGCTTTGAAAAGACATAGGTCACATCACATCTACAATGAAAAACAGGTCTTCCCTACCAGGAAAATTTTCTCTCAGTAATGTAAGAGTTCTGAAAGAGCTTTGACAACGTGCTAAAATGCAGAACTACTCCAAGCCAGAGCTGGGCAGGGCTTCTTGCCCTTAGCATGATGATAGGGAGGCTTCATCACCTGTGACCACCTCCTGCAATGCTTACTGCTCCTCATCATTCATGTCTGTGCTGCAAACTCCTTCAATGGCTTTACTATGCAGTTCAGTTTTCTAACAGTCCTAGCAATTAAGATATTCTGACCTCAGAAAAACGTGAGCAGACAGCACTGCTGTGCTGAGTGCTGCATTTCATCCCATCTGCTTTTTTTTTCCCACATCTTTCCAGGTCTGTTTTGTGCATCTTCTAATAATAGCCTTCTTCTACATGTTTGCTGATAGTCAAATAATTATCTTTAGCATGGCACTGCTGTGGAGTGTTACAGTCACTAAGTCAGTCCCATAAAGGTACTCTTTGAAAGACTGAATTGAAAAGAAGACAAAGCATCATATTTCTGTTATGCAGCGCAATATGGATCACAGCACACAGTTTGCCCTTCGTTGACAACACACTCATGATTTGTGTTACTAGTAATATTCATATTGCTGAAACCTGTAATTGAAATTTGATGCAATTTGTTCAGGAAGATTTCAGCGATATCTTATTAAAGATTCCCCATGAGACTGTGAAAGTCATGCTGCATGCATATAGAGAATAAAGCGTAGCCTTACTTTCAAAGCCTTTGCAAAAGCTTGCCCATGAGAACAGAGGTCATTTCATGTTTCACAATAAAAGCAGCTAATGTCAGAGAGCAACTGTTAAGCATTTAGCTATTTTATCTTTTGAAAATAAATCTTACATCTTTTTATAACACATCCGTAAGCATTTAGAAGTACGAAGGACCTAACTGAAGCCACTCCCCATGCAGAACTTCTGGTGAAGTCAAGTGATTCCATGCACAGAGCCTCGAAAGAACAGGAGAGGTGTTTCCTCTCACTACTTGGCTGGGGAATAAAATTTCTAAGTGTGATAACCTCAGCCTCTACCAGATTGAACAGGTCATATCATGCAGGTAATACCTTAAAGATATAAAAATAATATATTAAATATTCTCAAAAATAAGAAAAGTCAAGAAAACAGACCAATGAGTTCCCTTGTTTTGGCCTCAATCTCTCCCAAAAGAGTCTCAGGATTGGCACAGATTTTCTCTTCATCAGCACAGTAACTTTCTAAAAATTTCCTATATTCCGGGTCTGTGAAGATAAATTTTTGAACTATGTTAGTACTTCACACAACAGAAATGGAATCTATTTTCCACTGTGACATCATGAAGGTATGCTTACCATCTTCAATGCTCCCAGCCTTGGCATCTTTCTTTTTCAACTTCTTTTTTGAAATCTTCTGAAATGGAGCAAATTCAACCACTGCAGGGTACTCCAAACCTTAAAAGAGATCATCACTTAATTTTTATTTTGGGAAGCATTCCTTGTATTCAAGTAAGGTTTTCCAAACCCTTCAAATCTGCATTGGATAGCCTTACTTGAAAGCAAAGGTGAATGTTTCTAAATTCCCATCCTAAATTTCTAAGGACAAATAGCACATGGCTGTATTTTGGATTCAAAACAAAATACTTTAATATTTGAATCACATTCTTAAACATTATTATTATTACATTATTATTTTGACATGCTAGCAAAAGCTGTCAAAATGAAGACGAGTACTGTTGCACAGTAAAAGTTTTACATTATCATTTATAATTCTCTTTCAATTCTTCAAAGATTGCCATTGAATAGAAAAAACTGACATCAAATCTCATGCTGACAACGAGTAAGTACTACTGGGAGGTGAATTTTACACAACTGAGCAACTTCTGCAACATTTTGTTGCCAGAAATCTAAATTAAAAAAAAAAAACAACCAACCAAACAACTGGCAAATATACAGTCGAAAGAAATGCTGCCTTCTTTCAGAATTCTAAAACTCACAGTGTACAAATGTGTGAAACTCTTCCTTCTGCTTTCTATTACGGTGAACTACACAACTTCTAGTTTGTGTTTATTGGCTAGATTCTTTGGTTTTGAGTTTTGCCTTGCACCCTGGAATCGTCTTTGGATTGCTGTGAGGACAGCGTGTAGCTTTTGAATTTTGCCTGGTTTCCACTTAATGCAGGTTCAAGATCACACTTAGCTCAAGTCTACTGAAAATATGATTTAAATCTGTTAACCATTCTGAACCTAGTAATCCTTATTTTAGTTTGAGCCTCATAAATGAAACGCTGCCACAAGCTTCACTAGAAGGCACTTGCAATCCAAGCTTGGGCTTGGTATTTGCAAACAACCATGCCAAACTGACTATCTGTCTCCAAACTCAGTTTTGTAGTGTACACAATATTCTGGCTTCAATCCAGCATAACATTGAGGAATGTGCCTAATTTAGACTACGTGGAGTCTTGGCAGAATCATAAAAATAGTTTATTTCTACTTCAGCTAAAACAACCCAGCTGTTTCAGAGAAGAAGGCAAGATAAAACACGAACATCAAGGAACTCTGTTAGTAAGGAGTTGCCCTGTCTCCTACTTTACAGCAGAATTTGAAATCTGGCAATCATATACAGTGAGGAATGTGCTGTTCTCCACCTTTGGAAAAATCTATCCAAATCCAAGTTAGAAGCTTATCATAGAATTAACTGGTTTGGGTTGGAAGGGACCTCAAAGATCAGGTTGCCCAAAGCCCCATCCAACCTGGTCTTGAACACTTTGAGTGATGAAACATATGAAATACCTGAGGTAGGAAAAGCTGCAGAGATACTTATTAGTTTGGCAGACAGCTTCAATGGAGAATAACTCTCCAGTAAGACCAGACAAGACTATTTCACAGGACCTCTGCAACACTCAGCACACAAAATAGATGGTGTTCAATAAAACCCACAAATCAAGTTTCTTTTTATACAACCCAAGCAATTTTTAACAGAATCTGTGAGTGAGGCAAGGAACAGCTACAGTAACACACTGTTTCTTGGCTATGGCTGCTTAAAACTATTGTAGATCAGAATTTATGCACACCTACATTGCAGAGATCTGTTGGACAAACTTGCAAACTGAACATTTCAAAGGCGGCAACTAATCTCATCACTCCTTTGCTTGCAACTCAAGATGTTCAGGCTCTTATCGACAAATACAGGTAAGTGCACACAGTTATGGAAATCAGACTGAAAGCATCTGAGGTTCTATCAAACATAAATGCTCTCTGAAAAGTCGAGGCATACATATCTCATATCGTGCAACCAAAATGGTGAGGACAATGGTTTTGGTTTTGCTTTCTCAGCAGGGGAATGCATAGCACTGCTTTATCTCACAGAAACACACCAAAGAATCCAGCCACTCGTGCTTGCAATGTTTTGGGTCACTGTTGTGATGAATTGTGAAGCTCACATAAGATAATGAATAGGATCCTGACAGTGTGCTGCTTGAGTTACAAAAATGCAGATGAATTGTGCACACCACGCAGACAAGTAAGACTGCATGGACAAATACATTTTTCACTTCATTATCTTTAAATAGCCAGATTTTGTTTTAGTGTACTTTTATGTAATTAACTGTATATTGAGAAAAAAAAAAGCTTAATTATAAAAAATGAAATGAATTAATGTTCTAAAATGGTATGTAGGTATGTATGTATTCACATGTAATATCTTACAAATAGTCCAACCTTTATTATCAATGAAGACATAGCCATCAAAGCGATCTCTAAAAAGAAGGATGTCCTCAGGATTTCTAAAGTTAATGTATGCTCTTGAGTAGAGATGAGGATAAAGGCTGCAACAAGAAACAATGTTATTTTCTGTTATTTACTATTCCGTTCAGGCCTGGAAAAATGAAATAGATAGATCACACTGCCATTCTCATTCTCTTTGGGAAACGGCTACCTTAATCATGCATACTTAAGTCTCTACATACATATAAAAATATCTATTATGTCTATCAACTCGGTGACTGAATTCCTGATACAACTGTGAAATTTATTCTGAGCAAATGTTTCTAGCTTGTTTTGTCTCCTTAAATTGCAGAGCATACATTTCCATTTCGTAGGATCAAAGCTTGAAGTCTGTTTGTTCATGACTTGAGAAATGAATAACAGCAGTGCTTTTGGAGAACTTCTAGGGCATGATAGGAAAGTCTTCCATTGCTGACACAGTAGAAGGAAAGTAAAAGCTTTCAGTGAACTGGAGTCGCCAAGCTATCACTGTATTTAAAGAGATTCCCACCTTAAAGAAAGATTAAATAACCTAATACTTGGCAAGCTAATATGCTGCATTCCATACAAATAAACTCAATTGGACATGTGCATGAATATGTATGCAATGTCTAATTGTGGAGAAAAATTACTGAACAAATCAAAAACCTTTTTTAGCAAAAGAAAGAACAGGTACTTACCCAATATAATTCTGATCCTTCAAGAATTTGTTGGCACTGATTCCACTCCAAATATTAGCGTGCCAGATCCAAACCTCAGGGCTGGCACACCACCTCCAGCAATGGAACTATGGTAATGCAATGCATTACCACTCATCAGCTAAGAGTAAGGTACACACTTAACTCTCTCTCCCACACAATTATGATGTAAAAAGGTTTGGCTTAATCTGCTTTTAGTGATGTCTGCATGTTAATACATTTTTTTAATATACTTGAACGTATTTGATTTGAACGTGAGCCCATAAATTTAATATATCTGTGTTCATTGTACTGCTGCCATACAAGCGCTGTCTTAAGATAAACTCACCAGCAGCAGCACAAGACAATCAGCACACACAGTTGCAACCAGATTTAAAATCACAGCTATTTCAGAATGAGATTTTCACATCCAGTGAGAAAGAGCAAAGATAGAGGTCACGTGTGTGGCATCTCAAAGAGTAACAGTTACTACAAGACAAGTAATCATTTTCTCTTTTTCAGATGTGTGTCTATGTGAATTCCACTTTGCATTTTGCAAGGTGACCAAAGAGCAGCACTGCTGATATCAAACCATGTTGTAAAATGCCCCAACTTCTGCTCGACATCGTAGTCAGGAGAAGCACTTAACGAAGTGCAAGAGGGCTTTTCTCACTTAGATGTTTTACAAGGTGCCTCTAAAGCATGCAGAAGATGCGCCTTCTAATTCTATGGAATTGTTATTTCATACATATTTATTCACTATTTTGACACTCTAGGAAGGGAATAGCCTTGAATGAACTGCAAGCAGGTATCACAGAAGCACAGGATGTCTCAGGCCGGCAGGGACCCTCTGGGTCCCTCTGGTCCAACCCCTGCTCCAGCAGGACCACTCAGAGCAGGGTGCCCAGGGCCATGGGGCTTCAGAAGATCTCCAAGAAGGGAGGCAACCACAGAAATGCCTGACTGGGCACAGCTAGTGCTATGCTGTTGATACAAAGCAGTGCTGAAAGATGCTACACAGAGCATGCTTCCTTATCCAGCACAGCTCACACAGGTGGTACAGCCTGCTCGCAGGAAACATCTAGACAGCTCAACCAAATGAGCATGGGTATGTATGGCTGTGCTTTGCCATGGAGTTCTTCCACACACCCTGCAGAGTTCTATGTTATCAGATTTGCAAACCTCCGGTCTGCACATGAAACACAAGGCATCTCCAGGAGCGCGTGGAGTCATTAGCAACATGCAGTGCAGCTGAAACAAGCCAGCTTCCATCTCAGTGTTTTCAAAGCAAGAAAAAAAAGGATGAAATTTAACAGCTTTCATGATTTTTAACAGTACATACTGTTAAAAAATAATATTAGAAAACCCATTAGAAAACAGTAAGAGTTGCAAGTGTCTGCAAAGAAGGAAAGTCTACTGTGACACTTCATAGTTGTGCTGGAAGAAGTGCCTCTGTGCTGTGTAGCTGCTGCCTAAGCAAAGAAGTCTGGTAAGTGATGGCTCCCAGGAAGGAACAAACCTCTGTCACTTCAACAATACTATTCCTATCTTACACTCCAAATGTTCTTTAGTGTAAGAGACCTGAAACTGGAGATTGATATGGTTACACACTAGAAGTACTGAAGATTCACCAAGCAAAAATAACCTTCAGGGTTAGCAGCCTAATCACAGAATGCTTTGAGGTGGAAGGGACCTTTAAGATCACCTGGCTCCAACTCCCTGCTATAGGTAGGGACATTACTCTCTAGAACAGGTTGCTCACAGCCCCATCCAGCCTGGCCTTGAATGCTTCCAGGGAGCAGGCATCCACAGCCTCACTGGACAACCTGTTCCAGTGTCTCACCAGCCTCACTGTAAAGAACTCCTTCCTCACATCTAGTCTAAATCTACTCTCTTCCAGTTTAAAGCCATTTCCCCTTGTCCTGTCACTACACGCCCTTATAAAATGTCCCTCCCAGCTTTCCTGTAGGCCACTTCAGGTACTGGAAGGCCAGTATAAGGCTCCCCCTGGAGCCCTCTCTTCTCTGGGATGAAGGACTCCAGCTGTCCCAGACTGTTCTCATACAGAAGGTGCTCCAGTCCTCTGCTATCATTGCTATCTAAGATTGAGAAGTCCTGAGTTTGAGTTCCTAATTAAATTACTTGCAGTGCTTTATCAACCCTCAGTTTCCACAAAACTAACTGAAAAAAGCTACTTCTCTGGCTCAGTGCATGGAACTGCTTGGCCATAGATTTTCTTCTTCTGCAGTAACTTATTACTCACAGTTGGACACACAAGACTCATGAAAAAGAAATGAAAATACAATTTTCTTCATTATTTCCTTCAGCTTGCACATCAACACCATCCATCTATTTCCCATCTGATTCGGAAATATTATCTTTTCCAACATAGGATTTTTCTAACGTTTTTTGCTTAGACTTTGATATCAAAGTATCTTTCAAACAGAGAAACATGTATTAGTAAGAGAACAATGTGCATCTGGAACATGTAAATGTTCCCTGGACACAATCCCTGGAAAGCAAGGATTTAGACTTTGTCTTCAAAAATAAGGGATCCAACATAATTGAGATACATTTTAAGTCTTCAAGAACTTCACATCAGCAGAAGCATACAAACATACTAAAGCATGCTTGTCTACAGTGTGATATTGGTATGCACAGTAGCACAATCAAATTGGATTCTCTCTCCATTACTGTTGCCATGTATCAGGGTAGAAGGTGACAGACAAATAGCTGTGACAATGCTTAGAAAGTACACGTTCCTCCTCTGATGCAGCCACTTCTACAAATAAAGAGCCCGTCCTCAAACGTGAGTGGGATATCAGTTACATAAAAGCCTGATCTGTGTTTCGGATCCCTTCAAGCTTTTTATCCAACAGCAGCAGTGCATCTGAAAAAAGAATGCATGAAACTCAGCTTCCAAATGGGAAGCTGACTACACCTAGCAGATCAGAAATGCCTAATGGTTTCAGGGACCTGGGTTTCAGGGACCTTCCAACTGCAGCTGCCCGCTCCAGATTCTCTCGCCATTTATCCATCCTCTAAGAACTCAGCAGTGCTGCTGAGCAGCAGAAAGCACATGCTTCACAAGGCTGGGAGGCCACTGTGGCTGCCGTCCTCTCACAGGCAGGTACAGACCAGCTCTCTGAAGACATTGGAGAAAACACAGCTTTTGCTCTGCAGGGCTTTGCCTTCCACATGAGTTCCCCAGGCACTGCTCTACAAAAGGGACCCCGGGCCCTGCACGTCTCCTCCTTTTCTCAATCATCTGCTAGCACAGATACCTCCTGGGATTTGAAGTTCAGTTTTGAGATTGCATGGCTAGTTTTACCATCACACAGCTGGTTCTCTTTACCCATGTTTACTTTCTGTAAAGCTGCTTTCCATCCACATCATATTTTGGACAGATGCACTGCACATGATGCTGGCATCTCTGTGATATTAATTACAGGAATTTCTATGGAAATAACCCAGACGAGTCTGACTATTCACATGTCTTCACTTCAACATACAGTTTCTTTGCTTTCTGTTGTGCACTGCAGGATATTCAATCTTTTAGGTAATGGCCATTTTTACAATACTAACTACAACATCCCCTTAAACTTTTACGACAATTTCTACAACAAAAATGTTCTAAAAGCTATCTTTTTTTAAATCTTTTAGCACCATTTTGTAAGAAGAGACAGCAAGGTTGTTATCTAAAATATAAACAGTAACATAAAGACAGCCATCACATTCTAGTTAAAATACCTACCAACTTATCATTTGTGGTGCACATACATATATACATGCACATGCATTAACATACATATATTAAATACATATATAAAATCAACACATAAATTTTGGAGTGCCCTGTAAACTCCTCCATCCAGTCATGCGTTTAAGCATGATTTTGGATCAAACTTGATAACTCTCTGTCTGTACACCAAGCTAAAATCCACTGGCCTTCATCGTTGTCTCTACCTATTGCCATTCATACAGTGGATGGTACTGTAATTTTTAATGAACTGAGCTTTTCCTTTTTACAGATAGAAAACAAGCACAATTTGTCTGGCAGCAAAGAATCAGCAACACCGCGTGACCAACCAAGAACCACTCCCTCCTTTATCACACCACAGGTGATTCCCTTAAAGGTGCTGTCCTTCAGTTCCTGCGTGCACGCTGCCATCCTACAGTAGGAATGCTGTTTGCCTACAATAATCCTCCGCAAAACATGGGGAAGCACCTATGATGGCAGAGGAGGAGTGTTGTTTGCAAGATTGTCTTTGATACAAGGTAAGGCATCAACTACTTGGCTGGCTTCCACAGAAGCAAAGCTCCTGTTCTCATCTCTTTACTCTTACAACATTTTCAGCGAGTACTGCAGTCACTGCCAGTCTTGAGGGATGACCCAAGTCCTGCAGGACCAGAGCTCAACTGCTGCACTGGAGTTTTAGAAGGCTCACAAACACGTGCAGCCTTAAAAGAATATCTAGAAGATGTAGTTATTTTTTTTGGCACCTGAGAACAAGACCGGACCACCAAGTAGGCAGCCTCTTCATTGTCAACTACAGGTAGCATGCTTATCAAACCCTCCTGAAGGCCACAGAATCAGTGACAAACACACTGCTTTGCTTGTATTTTTATACCAATGTACAAGAGAGAAAACGGAACTTAATGCAGTGAATCAAATGCATCAGAAAAAATGAATGAATTACAACACAAGAGTCAAACTTTGTGAAATGATTTTACTGAAATGGATGTAACAGTGTTACACAATAATGACATCTGAGTTATATGAAATTGTTAAAAGTTTTACAGTTTGGTTATAATAACAGGACATTATAAAATTACAAGTAACCTTTATCACAAGAACAGTAAAACCAGACTTGATATATGGATGCGTATCTTACAAAAACACATGGGTAGACCACAAATGTTTGTTCTGTCCTGTGGGGTGAGATGACCTTGGTAAGAAAAAGGTGTAAGTCCTCTCTGAGCACAACTGGTAGAGGATGCTTAGAGGAAATGTATAAATAAGAGGAAACTACAAAGTGACACTTCACCTGCTGCATCATTTCAGCCATTTGCAGCCCAGGGACTGTGTAATTCAGAACTCGCACCCTTGTGTTTAACAGGTCTTCATGGATAAATACTTGTATAGTTAAGTATTTGGCTTCTGAACCATTTTGAACCTCCATTTCTGACATTGTTCTCAAACACAAAGTTGCACATCTTAAGAGTGAAAAAGTATTATGTCTGTATTCCACAGCTGGAGAAAACTGAATGAACTCTTACAAATTTCTGTTCTCTGGAATCCCGCATGGGGCTAAAATGTGATCCAACAGCACTTAAGGACAAACTTGTCTGCTTCTGAATCATAACCTGTCCATTTGTATGCCTCACTCTCCTTCCAAAAAGTGTCCTCCTCTCTGAGTAGCTTCTCCAAGCCATTCTTTCGTTGGGTAGCATTTAATCTCTATGAATTCACTGCCACTCAACCTCCTGTATTGGTTGCTACTATGTGCCTGGTACAAGATCTAGAAAGAGTGGAATCAGTGGAAGACAAAAAGACCATGTATAGAAAACATGACCTGGGATGGGCAACATGATGCTGGGCCAGTAAAACAACAAATAGTCATAGAAAGCCAACTGTTGCCCGTTGCTTATCTTTCTGAAGACTGGTGATAACCTAGATTCTTATGCCAACAACTGCTTTGGAAAGTTAAAATTTTCATTTTTGAACTGGTTCCTGGCATTTGCGCAGTTAGGATGAAGACACTCTTTGGAGAAAGCAAGCACCAAACTGTCACTAAACAGATATTGGTTTCTTTTTGTGGAATTGACTCTGAGAGAACATGTATATATGTACATATATAAATATGTACGCCTATGGAGGATGATTCACCGCACACCAAGACAGGCTAAGCTGGGCAAGATGAATCACATCCTTTAGTTATTCTGAGCACCAGGAGATGTAGCAGATAGGATGCTTTGGTTACTTCTATGGTTAAATTCATCTAGAAATTGTTCTGTTCAAAAGGGAATGGTATTTTACCACTGTGATACTGAGTATGTTAATGAATAAATGTTGACTACTTGAAAAAAAAGTGGTATGAAATAAAGACAGGAATACATAAGCAAATTAAGAAATTGAGGTCGAATGGCACTCATGAAAAATTTGGTGATATTTCCCCTCAGTTGTCTTTATCATAGCCAATAAACAACAATTTTTACTAATTAAAATTAAAAGCAGGGTGATGGTTTCAAACAAAACTATGCTCTATTTGCACGCAAAAAAAAATTGTTTTAAAACCGTTGAGTACGTATGGAAGAGGCAGGAATGTATTATCTCTGCAAATATATATATCCAAATATTTTATGTAACTTACAAATGGGCTCCCTGGACAAAATAAGTAATTTAGTGTCCAAACTGCCTTAATTATGCTTTAAGCACCTGAAATCCTACACGGACAGCTCATCCTCACCTGGGATCAGCAGTGCAAAACTCAAAATAATCATGAGCAGGGAGAGGGTGTAGCTGCTCCTCCAGCTGCTCCTTGGTTAGACAAGGAGGGAGCCGTCGAATAACCACCTGCGTAGATAAAAGGGAGAGTTATCTTCCATCTGAATAGCACGAAAAAGACCAAATCGATCGTGCCGGTCCTCTTCTAAAAGCCCCTCCTGGGAGCTGCGGCTGCAGCCTCAGCCTCGGTGTCCCTTGGAGGATCGGCTCTGGGCGGTACCCGGCAGCCCAGCACACCGCACACAGGACATCCGCGGCGCCGCTTTCCCGATGCGGCACGGGGGAAGGCAGAGCTCCCCACACGGTGCCGCGGTGCCTCAGCGCCCGCAGCCGCACCCCGCCACGAGCGCGGCGGTTACGCGCCCCCACCCCGCCACCCCCAGCCCCGCACCCCTCACTTTGCTCAGCGCCGTTTTTTTCTCATCTCGCAGTTTAACCGGCGCCGAGGGAAGCGGTGGGGCCGGGGACGGCGGCGGGTTGGGCGCGGTGTCCGGCTCCCGGCGCGGAGACTCCCGCCCCAGGGGAACCTCCATGGGTCGCTTCTCGCGGCCGCAGCCGCCGCCCCTCGCCGGTCCCAGCCCAGGCTCCCGCTCCGACCGCATGGAGCCGCCGCCCGCAGCGAGTCGGAAACCTCGCGAGAACTGCCCAGTTGCAGGGCGGAATCTCGCGAGACTTGGCTGAGGGGCGAGGGGAGTTCCTCCGCCCCCGGAGTAGCGATGGCAGGGCTGTCCTCGTCCTTGTGCATCGCCATCGTTGTTCTCATTCCCGTCCTCTCTGCTGGATGTTCTGAGGAGAGGTGCCTTCGGGAATCACGCAGGGCCTTCATTGTGTGCATGGAAAGGGCAATTGAAGAACCGTCCTATCGTGGTCCGCGAGCCCAATTGCCTTGTAGACAGCGGACACTTGGCTCTGCCCTCCCTGCCACAGCCTCAGCCATGTCTCCTGTGGCAGGATGGGAGCAGCAGTCATTGAATCACAGAACGGTTTGGTTTTGAAGGAACCTCAAAGCCGAGGCTGCCGTGGGCTGCCCCCACCAACTCAGGCTGCACGGAGTCGCACGCGACCTGGCCTTGACCACCTCCAGGGATGAGGCACCACAGCTTCTCTGGGCAGCTGTGCCACTGCCTCACTGCCCTCTCACTGAGAAATGTACCCCTGACATCTAATCTGAATCTTCGTTTCAAACCATTCCCCTTTGGCCTGGTGGGCTAGGGCTGAAAGCTAGCCAGGTGCTGGGGATGCCACACCATGAGGAAAGGGACAGTTGTTTCTGGCATCAGCTTGCAGGTCCTGTGTCCATGAGTTTTCAAATCATGAAAACCTTGAAGACAACAGCAGTGTCCCCCCACAGTGGGTGATGATTGCTAGAGAGCAGGTTATGTGTAAGACGTTGCTTTAGCAGGCATGTTAGTCATAGGCTGGAGCAGGACAGGTACTGGGAGGCACAGCAGGAGATGCAGGTGCAAAGATGAAGATTCAGACAGAACACGAGCAGTGAACAGAAATAAGGAAAGAAGCTTTTCCTGAAGTCCTCTCTGAGGCATGCACAACATTAGCTTAACAAGCCTAACCTAATTGTATCAGCCTGAAGAACTGGAAGCCAAACCAAGCTTCATCAAGAATTTCTCTGATGTTGTCCAGGAAAAATCATTCACAGTCTAAGACGTTTTGAAAATGTTTCCTTCTAGGTAACTTTTAGTGGCAATAAAGAAGGGCTAGCAACAACCAGCCAAAAAACTTCAGCAGATAGCTGCAGAATTGAAGGGTCATGACACATTGCCTTTAGAGCAAGAGCAGTTTTCTGTACCCTCCCTTTTCTCTCCACTCAGCCCCACTGATGACTTTCACACAGCAGTTCACAATTTTTCAACCTGAGAGATCAGACAGAGAAAAGCTTTTTAAGTGCTAGGCCAGTTCCCATACCTGATTTACACCCTAAGCATACAAATTTGTATTACAACAGCTCTGGAAGTGGCTAAGGGGCAAGCCAATTGCTCTCAGCAGTGGAGGACTACAACTAAGCAGGATTGCCATCAGAGCCAACACACCATCAGATCAGAACTGATACCAAATATTATCAATTTTTAAGACTACTTAGTCAATGAAAACAGCAGCAACATAGGAAAAAAAGAAAAAATCCACAGACATCCACGGCTGACATTAGCAAGAGGCCAGATTTGCTGGAGTATTTAGCCAACATGTATGTAGAAAATCCTTTCCGGGATGCATGACTAGAATCTTAAATTTACCTACTGTAGATTAAAAATAAACAAATGTATTATCATTTGTATCATATCAAGACTACTAATGAAATAAGATAGACTACCAAAAAACAAGAAAAAATGAAGATTTCAATATATATGAATATACTTGGGTTCATCCCTTGTCTCTTATTTATGAAAAGCATCAATAAAATTTAGTATAGGAAATATTTAATGACTTGCACTAGTATGCCACTTGTTTTTTAAACCATGTCCCAGTAAAGCAGATGAAAATTATACAAACAAAATCACACATATATTTTGTGCTAAAGATAGAACTGAAAAATGATTGTTTAAATGCCAACACGAATGTAGTGAAATACGGTATAAAAATTGTACTTTAGACCAGTCATTCTATTTTGCTAAAAGATAAATTAGCCTTTTTTTGTTTTTTTTTTTTTTTTGAAACTTAATGAAAAATCCTTATCTACAGAAAAAGAAAAAGCTAGCTTTTGAGCACTGAAATACTTATTACTGAAGCCTGGACTATTAAACCTCAGAGAATCTTTTCTTAACATTAAATGTCAAAATCCAGCAAGAAGTCACGGAAGAAAAAATTATGACAGCTTGTAGCATTATGTTTTTAATTTTAAGCCCACCGTAGTGACATAGGTGAAACAGGCATAAAGGGAAAGGAGCTATTTACACAAAATACATTCAACATTCATACTATGAAGGCAGACAGACCCAGTTCTGTTCAGTGGATGGACAAATCATTGCTTCTCTACAGAAACATATGCTTTAATTCATTGTTTTTCAGTGAGCCAATGGCATTTAAAAACACCACTCTAGAGACTTGTAAAAGTTTTATATTATTCAGTTTATCCTTTGCCTTGGCAAAACAACTGTGTGTAAAGAGAATGACTGCATTTTCTACAGAAGTACACTGTGGCTTACAACTTTATTATTACACTACTGAAAAATAGTTCAGGTATCATTCATTGCAGGAAACACCAATTTACCTCGGTATTTTCGCCATTCATATTGTTGTCCCATCAGCTTACCAGAAAGTTCTCACACGACCTCTCAGTAGCACAATATAGAATAACAACAAAGAAGCCAACAATAATTCGGAGAAGGCATAACAAAGTAACATGCTTTGTCATCAATTTAATGCACGTCCAATTAGAGTCAAGTGATGGGAATCCACTGAAATCACTCTGTAAAGAAATACATACTTATGAAGTAGTAAGTGTAAAACCTCATGGATTTTTTGGTCTATTTACTAAGAAAGCATTCCTCACGGACGGGATGAACACTCAGAAGCTACAATAACACTGTGTTAGACCTTGGCTAATCCATTTGGCAATACTGTAAACTCTTCCATGTTAGGTATTATTTTTAAACCTTCACAGTCTTACTGATGGCAGACACAAGGATCAGTAAACAGTTTTAAAAACATAATGTGCATTTATTTATTTGTTTTTACTTTATCACATATGATTAACTTTGTAGAAATAATAAAATTGGAAATAGTCCCTCATGTATTTTTTAATCATCCTTAAGGCAAGCATTATTTCTGTGGTGTTAAATACAGCATAGTAGTATGAATTCATATAAAAATAGCAAATTCCTGAAAGTATAACACCGTAACAAAAACACTAAAACAAATACTTAGACAAAATGTGCCCACTATCAGAATTTACGGTCATGTACTGTGGTCTGACATTGATGTTTCTAGCATCATATCGCTTTCATTCATTTCTATCTCAAATGTTTCTTCCAATGGACGGCTGGTATCAGTATTTGTCCTTTGATGTGATGCCTCTAACGTTACTATACCACTCTCATCCAGAGTCTGTCTTTCTATGTCAAATTCTCTGAAATCCCAGGCAGGTGAAATAATGTTCTTTAAGGTCTTCATTGTGTGTACATCAAAGTCATAACATCTTAGTTTGTCTTTGATCTCTGTTCCTAGGAAAATAGACAATAAAACCATCAGTTTATCCCTAACAAACATTCCCAAAACATATCACGAAACAATATCCAGAAACGACTCTGGTTCTCTGTGTATTCAGAACAAGGTGTTGTCAACACTTAATAACTAAAGTTTAAGTGTTGGTCTGACAAAAATCTAGCAGCCTACTACCTACCTACACACACACACACACACACACACACACACACACACACACACACACA